TGGGATCCCAGGTAATCTTTCCTCTTTGTCATAGAGAGGATAGGTGCTTTTTCTATATACTTGGCTTAAATTTAGCCTCCATAGCTTGATTCCTCGATTGAGCAATAGGGCAACTTTCCTGCATTCTACTACTGCCTCTCCTTCTGGGGAAGTTGGCACAGGAATTTGGGAGTGTTTTGGTTTCCAGATTGTTCACAGACTTGTAATATGACCGTAAATAAATAATGTAAGTACTTGTTGCTTCATTTTTATTTTTATTACCGCCTAGTCCATAAAACGTGCCTAGTATTGAGAGACTGTGGAAATCTTTATGTGAGAATCTCAGTGTGCCCAGGGAACAGATCCCTCTAGCAGTGTTCTGCCTCAGACATGGATGTCTTGGGGATTGTATAACATAAAAAACAGAGTAATGCTGACTTAGGTGTAGTTTGCCTCCATTTTCTTGGACAGGAGACTGCCTTGGACCAGGGACTTCTGACTGTCTTCTCAAGCCCCTGATGGCTTCCCTGTCCTTCTCTTTCCCCAAGAACTTGTGTACTGCCTTCTCCATTCACACAGACTTTATCGTTAGCCCTGTCTTACATCATGTCACCTCACAGTTTAGCCACAGAAGTAGAAGCACTTTGTTTTGTTTTGGACATGCTGCTTAGTTTCATTTTGTGCTCACCATCTCTTCTGCTGCAAGAGGCCAGGAGCTAAACACTTCCTGTTGGCTTTGTTTTTATAGCTCTGTCACTTTGCACCTCAGCTTCTGTCTTAAACAATTTTTGTTTGTATGAAATCCGTTCCATATCTCCAGTCATCCTACCTATCCTTGTCAGTACCTTCTCTGGATCTGCTCTATCCTTTCTCCTTTTTTTTTTTTTTTTTTAAATGAGAGTAGACAAGCAACACACAGTGTCCTGGTGTGAATGCACCATGCACGCAGTAGTACATCCTATTTTTGCAGGCTGATTCTTTGGTTAAACAAAGCGATTGTGGACATTCCAAAAGCAATGCGGCACATTGTACACACTCTGCAGCAGCTTAGAGTTAGTTGCTGCTAGCAAGTGCTGTGAACTTGCAGGCTGGGTTCCTCTTGGCAGGAGTTGAAAGTGAATTGTGGCGTTACAAAGAACGTTCAAGCCCCGTGTTTAAAGGGCATCTTGCCACTTACATGGGTGAGTGTATTGCAGATACTGCTTTCAGCCCTCGTCTTTCTGGCCTTCCTGCCAGAGAAGGGTTAAGTCTGAAATGGAAAACATGCTGCAGAGGGCTGGTGTGATTCAGCACGTGGTTGTAGTCTGATTCTAAAGCTGAGCTCTCAGCATGATATTTAGAGAACTGTGGCTCAGTGGCTGCCTGCAGTCACTGGTTCAAGTTGAGGTGCTGGATCCTCAGTGGATATCAAAGATCTCTGGCACTTGGGGCATTAACCATGGTACCACAGGATTAAGACTGGGTAACTGCAGCTGGGTTCCTTCCATGTTCTGTGTCTTTCAGTAGTGTAAACACTTGCTCTCCAAAATGCTCTCTTCCATAACAAGCAAGCTTAACCCAAATTAGCTTGGATTGCTTGTAGTCTAAGTTTGCCAGCGTGGACAGTGAGCGTGGATCCCAGTAGTGTGGTGGGATGTCAGAGCAGGGTGAAATTGCAGACCTAGCTGTGCTTTTCTCAGTGAAAGGTTATGGTATCAGCATGGATCAAGTTTTGGCCAAGTATTGATACTGTGCTAATATTCAACAAATCATTATTAGTGTTCTTGCAATTCATTTTTGTTTTATAGCGCAAACAGGTGTTTGTAGGGAAAACTCTTTGTTTCATAATATTTTTAAAGGGAGTGTGAGTGCATGCAAGCATCCCTGGCCAGCCCCTGGCTTTGGGTGGTGAGGAGAATTCCAGGAACTCCAGGAAACTGATGTCACTGCATTGTGTTTGCTTGTTTTCTTTTGACTGCACTAATGTTTAATTTTAACTTAACCCTCAGAGGGGTATTTTTAGTAAAACTGTTTCTTCACTCCTTCTGTCCCATGTCAGGAGGGGAACAGATTGTGTCTCCTTGTTTTTTCCAGTAGTCAGCTCTTTCTGCCTCCCCTCTGAAGAGCTGTGATGATTGACTGAGAGCTTGAACACTCAGCAGCATGTGTTACCCTGTCTGTGCTTGGAGTGCCTAAACGCTGATGTTTGTTCTGTCCCCACATCTTTTGATTTGATCGTTGATCCAGGCTGAAAGGAAGCAGATCTACCTGGACAAAAGGGCTTCATTCTGATAAAAGATTAGTATCTCTTCCAAATCTTTGGTATCACCTGTGGCTGTCCCAAGGGGCAGCTGCTTCTTTAAGGGATGATGGTTATTGTGTTCTTCAGTGAATATCTGCTGGGAGAGCCTGGCTTTTCTACAAATTATTAACACTTTAGTTTGGAGGGGCTTTGTCAACACTCCAGAGAATCACAGCTCTGCAAGGAATGGGTTTCTCCCTTTGGTTTTCCCTTTGTTTGTTTTTCTTTTTAGCAAGAGAGCATACTAAAAATTCAGACGCTAGAGCTGGAGAGGCAAAAACTGAGCTTCTTGCTCTGCTGATCTTGAACAAAGGGATAAATTCTTTTATCTATTTTTATTTATGTATTTATTAAAAAGAAAAAGGAAGAAATATGGCTCTGCAGAGCGTGGATTTATTGGAGAACTTTTCTCCCTTCCATATCTTTGTCCTGAGTTTTGGCTGCTGTCTCTGTGGTTTGCTGTTTGTGTATTTCTGCAGACAAATAACAAAATCAGAGAACTGTTTCATCCTATTCCGCTTCTAGCCCGTGTGTTACATTAATTGCTCGGGTGCCAAACACAAAAAGAATCGCTGTGTTTTTAGTTTGTCATTGTTTCATGTATGAAAATGGCTTTCCGTTGTAATTATCTGCACATTGTAAGAAGTGTGTATGTGAAGAAGCTATGGAAAAATGACAGCAGATTAATTAAATTCACACCAGCTCCTCATGTGAATGCTAAGACATCAAGAGTGTCTTCTGTGGTTTGGTATTACCCATTTCCAAAGCTTGGGGTAGGAAATTTTCATTCATTTTCCTGCACAAACAGATCTCTGCTCTTTGAAAGGCTGGGTAAGAAATGCCTTTATCTCTAGCAAAAGGAGATCTATAAGTATGGGCTCATCAACATTTTATACCTTGCACTCCCTGAAAGCTTTACCTTCTGCTGTGCTTCTGAACAGCATCACCCATTAATGCCCAGGACTATTGATGGGTAGTGCCAGGATTACCAGGTGCTGTACAAGGCTGATATATGGGGCAGGAGTGAGCTTGGGTTCCCTTTGCAAGGGTTTGTTGTTGCTGGATTTTTCTGCTGCCTTTTCTCTGCCCCCAGCTCCCCCATTCTATAATTCACTTTTAAAAGAAACCAGTCTGGGTTCTGCTGAGCTCAGCACTGCAGCCATTTGCAGAGACACCACAAGGAGTAGCAGCACTTCTCAGTTTTCAGGCTGGACTGTGGTGGGAAATGGTCATTCCCTTACACTGACAAATTGCTCCTGCACCCAAGATATTGCCCAGTGAGCAAACAAGGGTTGTCTCACTGCTCCTCTCCATTCCTGTGTGTATGTGGGGGAAGCTATCCAGCCAGCCACCTTTTGAGGAAAGGGCCACATTCAGTGTTTTTTCATACAGCATTTGGTGCAGTGCTGTGATGAGTGTCAGCATTTGTTTGTGTCAGTTTTTGGGCATTTCACCAGTAAGAGGATTGTTTATGCCAGTTTTACTGAATTCTAGTTCCAGCTGTGAGCTTCAATTTGCATCTTTTCATACAATTTGAACTGCTTGTTTTGCTATGTAAATCTTCTGTGTATTGGTTTGCTTTCTTGTTTACTGTTTCTCTGCTCCTAGAAGACATTTGTAATCCTGGGATTTGGCTGTGCATCCTGCTGTTCTGGCACTGAATCCCTTAATTCTGGACAGCACAGGACAGGGAGAGACAGAAAAAGGGAACTTCAGCTTCCCAGACTCATCCCTCTCCTCCGGTCTTTCTAGGCCAGGTTGGATGGGGCTAGGAAAAAAACTGGTCCAGTGGAAGGTGTGCCTGCCCATGACAGGGGGCTTGGAACAAGGTGATCTTCAAGGTCTCTTCCAATCCAAACCTTTCTTTGATTCTTCCAACCTGAAAAATCAAGGACGTGTGATCCCTAGACAAGCCTTTCTAATTAGTTCTCATCTTGTAGCGCTCATTTCTGTGTGCCTGAGTGATGTTGCAAATTATAGCCCCCTTTTATGTGTTTGTAGCATTTCATTACCTTTCAGAGCCTGTGGTGCTCAGTCACCGTTCCTGTAATGCCATCTTGTGGTGGCCCTGCCACTCTGAACGTGCCTTTTCCAGCCAGAACTGGTGCTGGGCTACCTCTGTGTGCAGGCAGTGAGTGCAGCTCCCCTTTGCTGCCTGCATGAGTGTGGGGTGAATCAAGGCAATAAATGCCTGTCTCCAGCTGTGAGGTGTCAGGGTATGGCCTTGTGGAGCTCAGATGTGGTGTTAGGGACCTTCATGGCAGATCCCTGCTCGGGTGCTTGAGCTCTGATGCTGTACAACTGTCTCTTAGAAGGATTGATTAACTATGATCTGTGTTACAAGGAGATTGGTGTGTTGTTCCTTAACAAGTCATAATAACAAACTATCCATTTACTTAAATATTCATCCCTCATACACTGGATGTTGTTTGAAGTTTGAAGTGCTTCTCTAAACACAAAGGAGTTGTTTAATACTTTGAAACGCTGCTCTGTTGTGATTGCAGGAAGTACATATGGCAGGGAGTGTCAGGATTTTGTAGAAATTCCAATTTTATCTCTGGTGGATTTTTTTCTCAATCTGTCTGGGCTTTGGATAAGCCACAGGGGCAAAAGTAAGGCCATTGCATCTGCTTCTCCATGACCAGAGAGCTTTACTGTACCTTCGAGAGTAAGAACTGCGTGCCTTGGTAATAAATGAAATAACAACTGTATTTATCTTTGGTTTGTTTTGCCTCTCCAGTGTTCCCAACTCTTGCCCAGCCAGTCCACGTGGTGCTGGATCCTCAGGATATCGTTTTGTTCACAACATTACCTCGGATCTGCAGCTGGCAGCAGAGTATGCGGCAAAGGCAGCATCAGAGCAGCAGGCAGATGCATCTGGCGGGGACAGCCCAAAGGTTCACACAATCATTACTTATCCAGCAGTGCTCCTTGGGAGGATTATTAAAGCCTGGGGTGTTATTGCCAGTCCTGGGTAGAGTTAAAAGGGGTTTAAGAACACCCTGGCCATAAGGTCATTCCTTCAAACTGTGCTTGGCTTAGTGGTTGTCTCTGTTTGCTTAGCAGCCTAAAATGTATTCAAATCACTCACTAAAGGGTTTAAGCAAGAATAATATTTTTGCTTATTTGATAAATCAAGATCTCATAAAGAAGAGGCACATAAAATTCAGCATCTCATTTTCTTCATTTAATTAATGGTGTTTTGCAAAACATAGTTGGAGAAAGCAGAAGCAGGGGAAGAAACCAGATCCTTGTCATGAGAAGTCTGTAGTCAGACTTTAAAACAAACATGAAGGCCTGTCAAGTAGGCGTTAAATGGAGGAGAGTGGCAAGTGGAATCTAGATTAAAAAATAACTTAGTTAGAATGATAAAATGGAATTTTGGTGAGCTGATCTTCAGATCAAAGTTTACAAGCTCCATATCCAAAACCACCTGATTTGGGATTGGGTGGGGGAGCATACTACTAGATAATTTTTTTAGTAGAGTTAATTCTCCCTTGAGACAAGAAGGGTTGTTCTTGGTGGGGTAATGCAAAGAGTTGGAAATACGAGATCTAGCAAACAAATTGAACTTCCTAGAATGAAACAAATCCTGCTGGAGAAGGGAAGGGATGGGATCAGGTTTCATGTTAGGCTTGTTGCTGGGACGAGGGCTGGTAACATACAGCCTCCAGCCTTTCCAGCAGAGTGGAGCTGTAGCTGGGCAGAACTGAAGGCTTTAATTCATGAGCACAGAAAACAGTGAATGTACTTATACTCTATTTCTGATTCCAGCTGCCTGTCTTGACCCCTTTCCTTGTGCTGGTGTAAGCATGTGTGGGAAATTCAGTGGGGAATGGAATCAGATTGAAGTTGGGGTTTATGTGTGTTTGTGGGTAGATGGAAGGAGATACTTTCATCTGAATCAGCCCTGTAGCTCTGTTTGAACACAAATGCTCGTGCTAAATGGGATGGTGGCAGCATAAAACAGCAATGGAGAGCTGATGCTCTCTTAGCTGCCCTGCTGCTCTCTTGGCATCAATGAAAATTACAGCCCAATGTGCTTTTTAAGTTGTGGTACACTGCAGTGTAGGAATTCTTTGCTAGTGACTAAATTTTTGTTCTTTTTTTTTTTTTTTTTTTTCCTTGCTTAGGATGAATCCAAGCCACCCTATTCTTATGCTCAGCTAATTGTGCAGGCTATATCTTCAGCACAGGACAGGCAATTAACACTAAGTGGGATCTATGCCCACATTACCAAGCATTATCCATATTACAGGACTGCTGACAAAGGCTGGCAGGTGAGTTCTTGACACTGACAAGCTTTTAACCTACTTTGACATGGCTTATATGCTTTGAAATGCATTTATTAAAGATTTGGGCCACTGGGAATAGAGCTGCTTTGGCTGTTCCCAGAGTGAATTTGTTTAACACAAGCTGACTAGTTCATTTGTGGGTGATTAGTTTTGTTGGGATTTTTTTTTTTTTTGAATACTTTGTAGGGCATTGTAGTGTGTTACTGTTGGGCTCTCTAGTTTCTCTTGTAATGCTGTAGTCATGTGTCTTTCATTTTGTATTTTATTTCCCTACATCCTTGCTAGCAGTCACTCCTCTGCCCAGATATTTGCTGAATCCTTCACCTCACCTTTGGCATGATTTCTCCAAGCAGAGGATATCCAGCCTAAAACTGAGGCTACAATTTTTAATCCTAGCACCTTAAATCATTACAGATGTTTTGGTTTCCCAGTGTATCAACTGCATTGCCTGAGTCACAGTTTGCAAGTTCTGAATTTGAGTGGGAACTCGGAAAACTGGGAGTCCATGGACCCCCTATGGTGCTCAAGGAGATCTGACCAACTTCAGAGGAGAGTTTGGATGTAGTTAACACATGCTAAATCAAACTTCAGCGTTCACTTGAGGGTTGCTTCCAAAGTTTCAAGAACCTCAACTCCACCTGCTTTCAGACTTTTTCTTGGCATCACACCTCTGCCATGGGTGTTGGCATTTGAATGTAATACACTAATACAGCTGCAAAGGCTCTTGCAGCTGCTGATTTCACTGTGTGCAACTGGCAGGAGCAGTACTGCTTGGTGCACTTTGAGTGCAGTTGGAATAAATACATTTCTGCCTCCCTGGCTTTTCCCTGCAGTTCTAATTAATTGTGGAATTCACTTCCTGCCCTAACCTGCTCAGCAGAGCTGTGCTTTGTGAACCAGTTGCTGCATCCTGCTTCAGAGAGCTGCATTTCAGCAGGGAGTGAAGTTGCCTTTTTCTCTCTCCTCCAGTGGCATTGTAAGGCTTCACCAGTGAAGAGATTGTCTAAACCTGCTAGAAAAGCTTTTGTGGTTTTTTTTTTTTTTTTTGAAAGTGGAAGAGGTATGAGTTTGTGCACACAGAGGCTTGCTGAGCCCTTCCCCAGCCCAAAAGGCAGTGCTACACCCTGTAAGAGATGGGCTGTTACAATGGAAGGGATGAACAGCTTTGTCATCATCCAGAGAGCTGCAGAGTGCCACAGAGCTCATGGATTCCGCCCAGAGCTGGCTGAGGGCATGTTGGCTGCCTTGCATTGTGATTACTGGGATATGCAGTGTCCTCTAGGGCATGTTTGGGCAACCTGGTAATCATTTGGCAGGTGAACAGTTAGCACAGGCTCAGGCAACTTTTTCCACTTGCCAAGAATAAAGCCTGTCTTTTGAGAGTTCTGATGTGGTTTACAGTGATTTCCCCCTGCCTCAGCAAAAGCTCTGCTTTCATGGCTTTCCACAGAGAAGTCACTGCTCTGGCTCCAGATGTATTTAAGTAATGGTTCGTACCAAGCAACCCTATCTTTCAGCTTGGTTAAGAGAAATTCTGACACTTTCCCCCAGGTTTTCTCCTGCTGTTCTCCTGTGACTTTGGAGCTGTGTGAGTTGAGTGACTTGTTTCTACCTTCAACACTGATTCTGGCAATGTGGATTTATTTTTCCAAGCTGTGTGGTACAACCCATTTGTCTTTGTAACATACTTCTTTGTGGCAAAACAATCACCTCATTCCTCTGCTTCCTGCAGAATTCCATTCGGCACAACCTCTCCTTGAACCGTTACTTTATTAAAGTCCCACGCTCCCAAGAGGAGCCTGGGAAGGGCTCCTTTTGGAGGATTGACCCTGCCTCTGAAGCCAAACTTGTAGAGCAAGCTTTTAGAAAAAGAAGGCAAAGAGGAGTGTCCTGCTTCCGAACACCTTTTGGGCCTCTCTCCTCCAGGTAACTTCAATTTCCTCTCATCTCTCTGCCAAACTCATTACAAAGAACATAAACCAAAGCTTCTCCTGAAGTACAGTGAGTATACTTCGCTGTTTATAGTTTGAGAGGTTATGTAGTTAGTCCTGAGGCATAATCTGAAAATTGTTCTGACTTCTTAAGTGTTTAACAAAAAAAAATCCAGAAGCAAGCTAGAAAAATGCATCAAATAACGTATCTGTTTTGGCATCATTTCAAAGAAATTCAAAGCAGTTATCACTGGAGTGAGTGTTTTCAGATGCCAATCTCTGATTTGAGGAAAGCTGTGTTTAGATGTGGATTAGATCATAGTGGGAATAACTTCTGTGGTATTTAAAACACTCTTCTATTGGGAGATCAGTTTGATGGTGGTTGTCAGCAGTGGAGCAATGGGAGTTCTGTGTGGCTGCTTCAGTCAGCTCCACTGCCTTGTGCAGTGACAGCTTCTTTGAGCCCTTTAGCTGTGAGGAGAAGACTTGGAATCCAGCACTAGCTGGAGCAGTTTCATGGAACATTCCTCCCACACCTCCTATTTTCTCAGTTAAAATGTAGGGGAAACAGGAGGAGAATTTTCCAGCTTTTTATTCTGGTTTGTCATTGAAGAAATGTACAATTCCTCACACGTTTGGGACCAGAGGTGGGAACCAAGTGGCTGGGGAGGGAGGCAACAGGGAGAAGGGGAAGCAACTGCTCTGCAATTATATGCAGGGCCAGACACTTGTCTCTACTTGCATCTTTCTTCTCCCTGTCACTCTCAAACTCTCACATAGGTTCTTTGAGAATGACTTGAAGTAATAAAACTGATCTGAGCATGCAGCATTTAGTGATTCTCTGTCAGCAGTGGGTCTAACAATGAAATATTAACCGTGCTCTGAAGGGTCCAGTTTCCTTCAGCAAGGAATAACACAATAATATTTGGAGCTGGAGTGTTTGTGGGGTCTGTGTCTACCTTTCAGCTCTTCCCATCAGGACTGCAGTGGGTGGTGTGGAGGAAAGGCTGTCCTTCCTAGAGAATCCTCTACTGGACATAACTTTGGGTTTCTGCTGCTGTCTTGTCAAAATGCATCTGCACTTGCCAACACTATGTTTTGGTGTTTCAGGAGTGCTCCTGCCTCCCCTACTCACCCTGGCCTGCTGTCCCCTCACTCTAGTGGCCTACAGACTCCAGAGTGCCTGTCACGGGAGGGCTCACCCATTCCACACGATCACGACTTTGGGCCAAAGCTAGCCTCAGTTCCAGAGTATCGGTATTCCCAGAGTGCACCCGGTGAGTAGCTCTTGTTCCAGGGGCTGGCTGTTCACTTGTCACATGTGCCATGCTGAGGACACCACAGGAAGGCTTCTGCAGTGTTTTTTGGGAGGATCCAGGACTCTCTTTCCACTTTGGTGTTAGAGACTGATGGTACAAGTACAACTTCAAACCATTTTTTTGACACCCCTTTGGATGAGGGGCAGAATGTGTAGAAACAGCTGATCTAACCTTGAGCTAGGTGGCTGTAAAGATCTGACAGCAGAGTAGCCATGGCAGCACACAGCTCACTTGCTGTCATTTACCAGCCTTTGGATAAGATCAGCCTGGCTACACCAAGCTCTGGTGCTGTGGCCAGAACCTGGTAAATATCTGCTTGTCGGCTGTGCTGACCTGGGTGTAGGGTGAGATTGGAAAGCAAAGCTCATTAAGGAAAGCTTGGTTTGGGATATTTTCTTATGTTTATTATGGCTTTTATTCACCGAAATGTGCTCAGTTGACAAGTAGGGGTTTTGTACATTAGGAAGGAGAAGTTTGAAGGTGGTATTTTTGAAGTCTTGTTTTTTTTTGTTTGCTTGTTTTTACCTCCGTTCCTGCCAGTGCTGAAGCACTGAGTAGACTGGAAGTGCACAGATTAAATAAATGGGGGTCTTTTTGCCTCTCCTGTTAAGGTGTGCTTCTCTTTTCTGTTCAGGATCTCCAGTGAGTGCCCAGCCAGTGATTATGGCTGTTCCTCCCCGACCATCCACCCTGGTGGCCAAACCAGTGGCCTACATGCCAGCGTCCATAGTGACTTCTCAGCAGCCTCCGTGCCACGCAATCCACGTCGTTCAGCAAGCCCCCACTGTCACCATGGTCCGAGTGGTGACCTCCTCTGCAAACTCTGCAAACGGATACATCCTCACAAACCAGGGCACAGCAGGAGGAGCTCATGAAGCTGCAGGAGCAGTGTTGGACTTAGCTGCTGACCACCGAGGTAGCTTTTCTCCTCCCTTGCTACTCTGCTAATTCTTGAGCAGGCTTGGAGGGGAGAGTTGTTGAACATTTTCACTCACTGCGCACTGAGCCATTAAAAAAGATGTTTCTCCAGGTAAAACTTGAACCAAATGGGAGCTTATCCATTTTTTGTCTCCACCAGAGAGCAGGAGTGTTCTCTTCTCTCCTAGGGAACAAACTAACAGACTTTGGAGCCTGAGAAAACATGCAGTGCATAAAATTTGCATTTTACCATAGAATCATAGAATGATCTGGATTGGAGGGTACCTTGAAGATCATCTCATTCCAATCCCCCTGCCACGGGCAGTAGCATCTTCTACTCTCCCAGGCTGCTCCAAGTCTTGTCCAACCTGGCCTTGGACACTTCAGGGATGGGGCAGCCTGTGCCAGGGCCTCACCCTCGCCACAGGAAAGAATTTCTTCCTAATACCTCATCTATACCTGGTCTTTCACTTTGAAGCCATTCCCCTTTGTCCTATCTCTCCATGCTTTTGTAACTATCCCCAATACCAGTATTATGCCTGTATATTGGCTATGAAAGCGTGTGCATTTCCATCCAAAAGAGAGAGCCTGGGAAAGGCTGCACCTCTGCTTTAGGATGGCTTTGTAAATAAATGATTGAGCACTTTTTTCTGCAGGCCCGGATTCCTAGAGGAAAGCATGTGCTTCTGGAAGTGCAGGCAGTGCCCCATTAAAGCAATCTTCAAAAACCAGTTAGAACAAAGGCCTTTTTTTGTCCCTAAGCTGGAAATTCCACCCTTGGGGGATTTAGTGAGTTAAATATTCTCTTGCTATGATCTAGACAACACCTTGTCTGCTCCCCATTTCAGAAGGTCTTAGTGCTGCAAGGTCAGTGTATGTTGTAGCAGCAGCAAGGCTGGTTTCTCTGACTGCTTTTATGTGGGCAGTGGGACAATGGTCCCTCTTTAAGGGAGTGAAAAAATGAAAAAGAGCTTCCCCTCTTGCAGCAGCAGGACCCCTGGCATTTTTAGTTCAGCACTGGTTATCTTGCTTGAGTTTCACTTGCATTCTCTAGAAATTCCTGTCTGGATCCCATACGTGTTCCTGAAGCGCTAACAGTTGCAGCTGCCTTGTCACCTGCTCCCTTCTTTCACTCACTGGTTCTTGTGTTGCCTGTTCTTTCCCTACTTGTCCCACTCATATCCATTCTAATCTTTATTTTCCCTGTTTGCTGCATTTTCATTCCTAAACTCCTTGCATTCCTTGCCTTTTCTCTCCCCATTCCCATGAGCTTGCCTGCAGGTTTCAGCTCAGTGCTTAAGTCCTATCTAACTCCACTCTTATTGTGTGCAAATGTTAAAATGGGAGAGGCCTTCTTTTCCTACAGGACTAATGAGATTGTGCTTCCTGCTGTCTCTCCTTTGAGACCCACAGAGGCCCTGGAAGAATGGATTCTCTCCTTTCCTGCATGCCTGGCAGGATGCTGTCCTGTATCTGTTGCATACCTGCTGTATTGACCCCTTACTTATCCTGGGAAGTGAGAAAAAATGGTTTAGTGCTCTTAAGCAGTTACCTCTGTCCAGAAACTCTTCTCTCCTTATTTATTTTTTATTTTTCCTCCATCCTGTTTTTTTTCCTATACTTCACAGCAAAAGCTGGCAACTCTGGGAAGAACCTCCTTGTAAATCAGCCTCCATGCAGGCCTGACAGCAAGCTGCTGCAGACTTTTGGCTCCAGGCATTGTTTAAGATCTTAATGCCTTCTCCTGCTGTGTGGTATTGAAAGTCAGGCCAGTTTGTTTGAAATTGCAAAGTAAGCTATGAGATTTGCAGTGCTTGCTGTCCATATCACAGCTGTGATGTGCCAGTAAGGGAGGTGATGCCTTTTTAGGGCAAAGGGTCAAATTGATGGGTTTGATTTTTTCAATTTTTCTCGTGCCTTATGCTGTAAGAAAAATATTCTTAATGTTGATAGAGTAAATGTGCAACAGAGAATATTTTAGTGTTTCCAAATACTCATCCTTGATCTTCTGTGGTGCTGAGGTATTGTAATCCTGGGGTGTGTATCCCTATAGTGAAAATGTGGTGAATGCCAGATCTAGGGAAGGAATGATGATGTCTGACTCCAGACTAAAAGGCTGAAGAATAGTTTTATTAAAACTATACTATATTACATTAATATAGTATTTAAAGAGATACTATACTATTCTACATATTTACTTATCTAACTAACTACAAACTCCTGACTCTCTGCTGAGAGTCCAAGACATAACTGGATCTCATTGGTCATTAAACTTAAACAACTTCCACCAGAATCCAATCAAGTAATTACTTCAGGTAAACAATCTCCATACTACATTCTACATGGGGAAAACAAAGGAGTAGAGATAAAGATTGTTTTCTCTTCTTCTCTCTGTGCTTCTCTAAGAAATCTTCAGAGACAGAATTATGTCTCTCTGTCTAGAGAATGTGAATGTCACATGCCCCTGCTAAAGTGTTAATGAGAATAAAACCTGCCTGTAAGCCAGGGCAGTGACTGACCCTTGTCTCTTCTGCTCTTCCGCAGGCATGGACGAGAAGCCAACGATCGCGTTTGCCACGATCCCCACGGCCAGCCGTGTTATCCAGACAGTGGCCAGTCAGATGGCGCAGGGTGTCCCCGGGCAGACTGTCACCATCCTGCAGCAGGCGGCTCCGGTGGCGCTGGGGCAGCACCAGCTGCCGGTGCGGGCGGTCACCCAGAACGGCAAACACGCCGTGCCCACCAACAGCATCGCTGGCAGCGCCTACGGTGGGTCTGCTGCCCTGCTCCTGCCTGCCACTGCTCCCCCAGCTGAGCAGCCAGGGTGGAAAGCTGCTTGCAAGGGTTTTCTCCTCTTGCTTTCTGTGTATCGAGTTAATCCATGTGTCCATCTCAAAGGTATTGCAGTTCTTCCGCTTCCAGGGCTGTAAATCAGTGGGAGGTTCCCTTTTGTCCACTCCTGCTGCCTTTTCTGGGGGAAGAGTCCTGTCCTTCCTTTGCCCTTGGCTGTGCAGTTATTAGTACTGAGATTCTCTACCTCTTGAGGTTACTTGTTGAAAGTGTTAGTGATTCTTGTGGAGAGCCTGTTTTCATTTATTTTCTTCTGATCAACAGCCTTTGCTTGCAGCGTGCCAAATAATAAAATTTCCATGGTGTTCTTTAGATCTTGTGAAACATGACTCAGTAGAGTAAAAAGAAAATAACATACTTTCCCATTTTACAGTCTTAGAGCCTAAGAGAAACAAGATCTATTTCACCAGGTGAACAAATGTAGGATTTTTGTATACACAGGATGTGTTCTAGTCATTTGTCAAGCATGGTTTTTTGAAATTCCATACAAGCCATGTCTTGGCAGCCTCCTCTTGCTTGCTCAGCACCTCAGTTTTTATTCAGTTGAGGATGGGAATATCCAGGTTTCTTATGGCTTTTTTCTCTGAGATGCCAAGCACTTCTGCTGCCTCAGGCTGGTGCTTTTGGGAGTTTGAAATGAAGGGCACTGCTGGGCTTTGGATGCCTTTCATGAAGGTAGGAATGTTTTTACAGAATTTTCTGCCACATCTCTTCACAGTTATCACCCAGCATGCACTTCAATTGCAAGAATCTCATTGGAACTGTGAAAAAATTATAGTGATAAGGTTTTTATGCAAGTATTATAAGATATTAATAGATCAGATAGGTCACACTTCTACTAACCAGCATTAGCATTTCTCTAATGTAGAATCAGACAGTTTTTTATTTAACATTTTTATGTTAAAATATTTTAATCTCACCAAACTTTTTAACTCTTGTCTAAGTGAGAAATATTCCAGTTATATCTGAGTTTTTTCGTAAATGGCAGTAAATTTTCTGGTTCACAAAACAAAGCCTGAGTCCCTTGACTCTCATCTGTACTAAGTTAACTTCTCTTCAACTGCATTGATTTAGGTTCTCTAAGTCACTAAGCTGTAATTGCTGACTGCCCTCATCTTTACCCTATTTTTTTTCCCTTCATCCTCTTGATACTCTACAGCTTTCTTCTCATGTCTTGGTAGAAGTTACTGGGCTTTGAGGGCCTTTGTTCTGTTGGCTTTGTTTATTTATCCTAGGGCTCCTTTTTTATGCATTTAGCAGTGAACACAGCACTGATGTTCAGTCATTCCATCCTTTGTAAATGAGTCTGGAGGGCAGAGGAAGTGCTGTTTCCTGAGTCCCCTTTGGCTTCCTCTCTGATTGATGCAGAGTCCAAAAGCTGCATGTGTTTTGTTTTCCAAGCAGTGATGTGTGCCAAAATCAGTGTGTAAGCACATTCTCTGTCTGGAACTAGGAATTGTAGACATTTTTACCGAGGTTGCTACTTAAATCATCTTTTTTCTTACCACTTTTATTAATGGGAGGGTGAGACCTTGTGTCAGTACTGCAATACAAGATTGGAAGCCAGAAATTCCTTTGTTCTGATCCCAGTTCTGTGGGAGCACATGTGGTTGTCTGGGGTAAGCTTTTTCCTGCCCCTTTTACAAGTGGAATGTCAGTACACTCAATATTTGCACTCTATTTCCCAACAGCCTGGTTTGTTCTTCCTGTGTGAGCAGGGCTCAAGAAAGCCTCTAAACCTCCAAATAAAAGGCCCTGCACATGGATATTGGAGTTCATGAGAAATCGTCTGGCCACCTACAATCAGAACTGCCTCTCAAAGAGATGTGCTGTAATTTTAACTAGAGCTTGATCCTCCCCTGCTGGGAACAAATACTTAGCTAGCAATGCCTTGTTTGACAGTGGATGGGAAGAAGGAAGTTCTCCTGTGAGAGGGCTTGTTGTTGGTTTGGTAAACTTGAAAAGCTGAGGTTCTGGAGGGAGAGGGAAGGAGAAGGCGAGCCAAGCTTTCAAAATGCTCCGGGAAGCAACACTTGACCATGTGCCTGCCAGCTGTTGCGTTTGACGGTGGGATTTTCTTTTCTTGCTTTGCTTGGAATAGCAAACACTTGTTCTGCTTCACCCCACTAATTCTGTTCTCTTTCTTATCTTCCTTCCCAGCTCTTACAAATCCACTGCAGCTCCTTGCAGCCCAGGCCAGCTCATCCACTCCTGTTGTAGTCAGCCGGGTCTGCGAGCCGGGGACCGAAGAGACGGCAGCAGCCTCCTCCAGCGAGCCTGAAGTGAAGAGACCACGGATAGAGGAGCCCAGCGGAGCAGTGCCAGCCCAGACTGGAGTCATCACCTCCACAGTGCCACAAGGACAGGCAACCAGTGAATGAAGAACCGGTGGGAGGAGCTGGAGTGATGGTGGGGTGGGCATGGGATGGCAGGAGCCCTAAAGCAGCTTTCACAGGAAACCAACCACAACTGTAACAGCTCAAAACAGCTGATAAAGAGCTCTTTTTAAAGGCAGATTTTTCATTGGGAGGACAACAGCTGTTATAATCACAAGGTGCCAAAAAGAATGGAAAATCCCTCCCAAGAACCCATATCTGGAACTTTGTTCTGTCTCTACTTATGGGATATTTTTTTCCTTTTTTTTTCTTTTTTTTTTTTTTTTTTTAAGATTCAAAAAAAATACAGACAACTGATTGTATGACTGCTGGGATATTTTTAACTATGTTTTCCCCTTTTGGCTCCAAGGGGATGGGATTTGCAGTTCAGAATCTAAAGGAATGTAATACAAATACAGTCTGCTCCCTGGAAAGAAAACTCCTCACGTTCTATGCCTTAATACCACACTTCTGAGAGCTTTGAACCATAGGACCATTTTAAAAAGGTCACTAAGGCAATCAAACGCTGAAAGATGGGTGCAGTATCTCACAACAACATTAAAGAAACATGGTACCAAACATAAAAAAAAAAGGCAAAATATTCTGGTTTTTTAAAACAGAAAATTCTGAATATAAATGTTTATTTATATAGGGATTCAGGAGGAAGAGTTATAGGGCTCAGCCACCTGGATTTCCAGATGAATTTCTCTCCATTCCCTCTGAGGGAGAATAGGATGACAGAGGAACTGTATTAACTTGGTTCCTGTAAAGATGTTAAAAACAAAGGGGTTTGTATCTTAACAAATAATTTCTTACAATTATTCATCACTTGCTCTGGACAACAGCCAAAGTATCTTGATGCCTGAGGACCACATCTCCTATGTCTCCAGGAGGTTTCTGTATGCATTTGATTGATCACAGCTTGTGTGAAGCGCCAGCTTTTGTTCAAATTAGCACTGGAGGTGAAGGCATGGCCACTGTCTTTGTGACCTTGAGAAAATACTGGTTGATGTTCTGCACTAAAGCTGTCACCTTCAGCTCCTCGTGGTGACGTGGTCCTTAGCTTGATGGACCCTGGTCAGGAGGTCAGAGCTGACCCTCTTTCATGGCTGACAGCAGAATTCCTGTGTTGCTCTTTGGAGAGGGAAGTTTGGGGCTTGGATGAGAGGCAGCAGAGGTCATACCATGGTTCATTCAAATTCTGTCAGGGTATAGTAGACAAAGGCAAAAAACTTCTCTTTTATTTTCCGTGTGGCAAAACTCACTGGAGGTCTTCAGTTTTACCAAAATGGATTCAGAGGTTTGCTTTCATTGCTTGGCTCCCTCCCATCTCTCCTGCCTTGAGCACCATTTGGGTTTGCCAGTAGGAGGAGGCCTTTACTCAAATTGTATTCCAGGCTCCTCACATAGCACAAGGATCTTTCAAGGAAGGCAGATTTGACTCACTGCAGCCACGTGCAGCAGTGGGTGTGTGAGACACCTTGTGACTGGCAAAGAAACCCACCCCTGCCTGTAACCTCCTCCCTTTGGCTTTACACCCTTTCCAGTCCCCTTGGCTAACATGTCTTCTGGCAGCACAGCAGAGATTTTTTCATTTAGCAAATGTTACAGCTTTGGTAATGGCAAGAGTGACTTAAGAGGGGTGGGCTGTGCTTCTGGTGGGTTATCCCCTATATGTACTGATTTCCTGTCCTGTGCAGTCTGACACCACTGCAGAAACATTGCAAAAAGCCTTCCTCAATGTGCAGTAAATGATACTGTCAGTGTATCCATGGGGATTAGGGGCAGGGCACAGCCCTTCAGTGCCTGCTGGAATCTGGGGAGGAAGTCCACAAGGTAACAGCTGGCATCACTTGTTCCCTTCTAGGTTTCCTTTGTCTTTGCCAAATCCTATTCAATAACCAAGTCCCACCACTTGAATAAAATCCAGACATGTTTAATTCTCAAGTCCATTGTTTTGTAAGAAATATTGCTGAAAGAAGGAAGTAATTTCTTGGTCTCATGATTTGCGGTTACTTTCTGTGGAGAGAGGCACATAAAATATTCATGACAGATCATTTATCTCAGCTGGGCTTTCAGAATTCAGGTGTGTGCCCTTAGTGACAGTTATTAGATGGGATTTTAGTACTTTGAAATGGTTTTGTGAAGGAGGATTGTTAGAGACCACAAAGTAATTGAAGCAGGCTGGCCTCCAGCTGTCCCTTCTCCCGCTAGGAAGGCAAGGTGTGGCACAGCGGAAAAGCACACAGATTAGCTCTGTTTTCTGTAGCCTTTTCAAAGCCAGGAGTCAATAAAATGAACTTCCAGGCAGAAGGCACAAGTGAGAGTGCAGCACAGTGTATCTGTGATGAATCATTACTTTTGGGTGACTGCTGGTTTGGGTACAGGCACGCTCTGAAACAGCCCCACGGCTCAGGAGCGCTCCCGAAGTGCAGGAGTCCTTGGGTTTCCAGGATTTTGGGTGAGTCAGAGCAAGATGAAAAACCAACAGAAAACTGTTCAGGATGTGGAGCTGCCAAAATTCTGTGGATTTTTCTTCACTGATGCTTTTCTCTTGAAGAGTCTAAATAATTAAGCCTGGAACCTCTGTAAATTAATCCAGCACTACAGAAAGACATCAGCTGAATGACAGTGTTTTCATCCACCATAAAGCTGCTGCTTTGTGGATACCTCTTGAAAGTCCATCCTCAGGTTGCATGTGTAGATCTGCCTCCTGAGTATTTAGAACAGAATAACACTTTCTCTCTCTTCTTTTTGTGGCTCACAATGCCTGATGGTTCAAATGGGAGTTGAGGATAAGCAAATATCTTTGTTCTGTTCACTCTTTCTGCTTGAGATGTCTGGAACTTGTCAGCTCACCCTTTCAGGGGGTTTTTGCTTTATCAGTCTGCTGCATCCCTCTGCTGCTGTAGGAAGCAGTCCTGCCACTTGCAGATTTTTTTTTTTAATAGGTTTGGCTAAACATTGCCTGGTACCAGGTAAAATAACTGTTCTTGCTAAATCGTGTTGGGAGCTGTGGAAGAGTGTGGTCCTTAGCCAGAACATGTGAGATGAAGGCATCTTGTTTCAGGCCTCCAGATGAATTCTTTCAGCACTGATAAATCTGGATGACAGCACCATTCTTTCTGCATACCAGTCCTGATTCTACAGGCTGCAGAAGCATGGTGGTAGAATTAAGTCTTCAACTAGGAAGAAAATGTTTACCTTAATGGTTATATGCAGTACTCAGATTATTTAAATTTATAATCTGACTTGTTTGTATTGTCTAAAAAGTTGCATCTCATCTTTGATTACATTAACTAAAGGTTTGAGAGGAAGTGAAGGGGGAGGCTTCACTGGATTTTCTGCTGTCTGTGTAATGAAGGTCAAGGCATATTGAATATTTAAACTGTGATAACTTAGACCTGGGAAAACTGTAAAGCCAAGTTCTTAATGTGTGAATTCACTTTCCACCATTCCCTATTGATTTCTTTTCACCTTAGGCAATGACATTGACTAATTTTACTTTGATCACAGTTCGTTTATAGCAACTTTCTTTGCCCCAGTTTGCAAGAGTTGAATGCAGTTGCTCTTTGTTCTATTCCACTGGAATTCCATGTTGTTTGTCTTGACCTTGGCTCTTATGATACAGAAAGCTTTTTAGAGAAAGATCAATTTAATCTGATTTAGTGATAACACAGCACAGTGCTGAGCACAAAATTGAAGTTCATGATTAGCTCATATATTCTTTTCAACTCTTTTTCCTTCCCATATTCCCCCCTCCCCCATACCATTAACGATGTCCCCTGTAGCATATCCAGTCATTTTTATCCACTGACAGGAGCAGCACCTTGCATTAAGCTCTGCCTGAGGACTCAAGGATGAAAATGCCTGTGGAATACGTGGAGCTCCAGAATAGGTTAAGAAAGGTCAATTTGGTCACTGTGTATTAATTTTCATGCTGTGTTCTAGACATGTTACTGTTGGGCAGAGCTTATTCAGGAGAGTGTTTTCAGAGACATCTTAAAGCTTTGTAAGAGGAAAGAAATAACAGCTCAAGCTCTTACAGTGCTTCTGCCATCAGCATCATGGTCTAGCATCAGATTTTAGTGGGAGTAATTTTGCATGTTTGGTCTTGTGTACTGACGTAGAGTTGTCATTCAGAGTTAATTTCCACATTTTTTTCCTTTTTCAGTAGGGAAATGCACACAGTGGAATAAAACTTGGAGTACAGAAGGCTAAGGGACCTGTATCTAAGCAAGTGAGGGCATCTGACCTGAACTCTCTTGCAGTGTGGTGTGGAACACTTCTCCCTGCCTGCTGGGGGTGTTCAGTTGGTTTTGGAGCTTTTCATCTGTGTCAGCAAGGGGGTATTTATTTGGTATCACTGGTGTGTGCTAGTGTGTAAGTGAATGTCAAAATGCAGGGTGAAAGGAGAAGTGTTTCCCTGCTACACTTGGGTTTGGAGATCTTGGATTTCACCTGGCAGTAGTTCTGTACCTCTCCTTAGAGAATCCATTCCCACCACACAAGGTGAAAACTTCTCAGCAGCATAAGAAGAATTTCCCATGCAGCTGCATTTGTTCCTTGCCTCTGAGGAAAACCCAGCTCTGCCTCCTCTGCATGTTGCAAATAGGTACTTGAAGGTTCCAGTAAGATCTTCCCAATTTGCTTCCTTCTCTTAAGGCTGAACCAGCCTGGTTGTCTCAGTTTCTTTTTGTCCATCAGGTGGAATTGCTGCAGGGGGTCCCTGTGAGTCTTGTACTGGGGAGCCCAAAGGCAGAGACAAGTGCTGCAGACATGATCTGGGGAATGTTGGATGGGTTGGAAGAGGAATCCTTTTCCTTGGCCTGGTAGCTACATTTCTGCCAGTACAGCTCAGTACCTGTTCGGTCTCTTGCTGCAAGGCAAGTATAAAGTGTAAGGAACAAATCACAGAGTGAACTGGATTGCATTTGTGCAGATGCAACCACATTGTCGCTCTCTTCCCAGGAACAGTCCTAATTTGGGTCTTTTTGAGCAGGAAGCAGCACTGAAGGATCCTGATCACTTTTAAAGATACCTATGCTTAATTTTATCAAGTGATAGTTTCAATTCAGTGTGGAAAATTGCCTTGAGTTTCTACCTGCTACAAAATCTTTGAGACTTTTTTTAAGTCCTGCTGCTATTAAGTTGGACCAGGGCATTAAGAATGAACCTCTAAAGGAACAGGACTGGCTTCATATTTTTTTCCTTGCTGCACTGAGTTTTTGAGTTTGCAAATGCCATCCTGCAGTAAATTATCTGAATTCTCTTGCCAGCCAGTCTCTTGGGCAGCTCCTCATCACTTTTTCCCCTCTATTTGTAGTTAAATCTGTCAACTCCAGAGTCCTTTAATCCAACTCCTAATTTAATTCCATTGCTTGAAGGTCTGCATCTGGCGAGGATTCTTGTGTTAAGTTGCAGTTACACGAGTAAACAATCTGTTGTAGAACTTCTTGTGTCCTTCTGGGTGAAAAATTATGCCCAAGCTGCTGCTACTATAGCATACACTACTGCTGGAAGGTGTAGCTTCCAGTGGAGCCAGCTGTGCTGCAGAAAACAGTTACACTACAGGGTCATTGGATTGCTGGAGCTGATGCCTTCTTGCCTGTTGATCTGCACCTGATCAAAAGGTGGCTGGGGAATCTCTCTCTGGGCTGCCTGGCAGCTGTTGGGCTGGGATTTGTTAGATCAGCACCCCTCTCTGCTGGCTGGGTTGTTTGCAGGTCAGTGCACGTGTTTGTGCATACAGGTGTGGGTGTATTCCCGTGCCATAACCAGCAGTGGGAATTCTGTAGCTGTGAGGGTGGGCTTTCTCCATTAGGGTGTCTTTCATGGGGCAATAATACACCAGGGAGCATATTACTTTGGCCTGAGCAAGACATTTTAAAAAATACTTTGTTTTCTTGGAGCACTATATTTAAAATCCAAATTTTGAATCAATTTTTGGCATTTGTATTTATATGTTTGGAAAATTCTTTTGATACCTTTTTGATTTACCAACACTGAATTAAAACCTTTCAGAATGTATGGTTGGTCCTCTCCTTATGTGTCACTTTAAGTTTCAGAGCACAAGGGTAGTTGTGCCAAATCTACCCCTTTGCTCTCAAGACAGAAAAAAAAAAACATTGACAATTTATGGGTGGCAGCTAAGGAAGAAACCCTTTAAATATTTTTTTCAGAGAATATGAAATTAGATCTGTGTAAACATAAAATTTATATTTATTAATGTGTGAGTGTGTGAGCGTGTGTGTCAATATAGATATATAAATGGTCCATGACTATTTCTTTCTCTTGAATGGTACTTACACAGACTTTTATACAGTGTGTTGGTAATCCCTGCACCAGGCACTGACTCTGAAAGAATGATGAACTTATTTTTGTAACAAATGTGAGCAGCCAGTGGAAGCAGCTTTACTTCAGTGATTGCTTTCATTCCTCTCGCAGAGCAGAAGAGGCAACCTGGTACTTGCATCTTCCTTCTGTAGGATCCCTGCTCCTGGCTTTGTCCTGCTTGCAGCAACCCCAGTCCACACTGCTTTTCTGGCAAGAAAAGCCCCCAAATGGCACTAATGAAAGCTGGAATCCTTTCTTGTCTGCAGTTCTCTCTAGATGCAGTGTCAGGGAGTTGTTTACAGATTCTGCTCTGTAAATAATGGGACCTTATTTCTAACAGAGGAGATTTATGGGGGGTCCATGAGGATGCTGTAAGGCTGAGGAATTCCTCTCTGTCAGGTGGCTAAGCTAACACTGGGGCACTAGGAAATAGTTTCATTTCTTCTGTGGTGAGATAATTTTCCTCTTGTCATGCTTCTGTCTCTTTTTGGGGTGAGGTGTGTCTATATTCCCCTTAAAAACAAGCACAGAAGAGTTTTTCTAATGTTTCCATTCACAGGGAGTAAATTTTTTGCTGAACTGGCCAAAGTTCAGGTGTGATTTAATTCCACAGGGATCACTAAATTCACAGAAGGGTGTATTCTGAACCACTTGGATCCTTTGAGAATAAAAGCAAATGATATTTGACTTCCTAATCTTAATTGCTCTTCCAGAAGCAGAAATTCTCTATGAGGATCTGAGTGAAAGCTTCACCTCAGCAATCACTGGCTGGTGATGGGGCTTCAGTACTTCAGGGAGGACAAGGTTGGTGATAGGAAGAGTGACCAGAGTAGGAGCAGTGAAAGGAAGCAGCTTTCCTCCTCATCCAGCAGAAAACAGCCCCTGTGAAACCCAGACTGCCCCTAAGATTTGGTTGTTGCCTCGTGTCTGCTGCCAAGTTATGCTGTGGTCTGGACCTCTCTGTCCTGCTCCTACCCCGCCTCAGTTTCACTTAAAGCACTCTGAGACAGAGCCTTCCTTAAAGCTAAGGGCAACGGTGAGGAGAAATGTCTGGTAGCTGAAGAAAAATGAGATTTAAATGGAGCAGAAAAAGTGAGAATTCCTTCTGTTTCACTGTCTTGCTGCTAAAAGTGTGGTGCAGAACATCCTGATGTTCTGCTGATTTATATGCTGCTCTTGGGAGGTGGGCAGGCTGCTAAGCTGGCTCTGTAGCAATTGAATTACTGTAAACCTAAACTTGCTTAATCTCTCTCTTTTTTTTTCTCCCTCAAATGTGCTTGAAGTAGAGGGAACCCGAGTATTGTTTGTAAGATCTTTTTGCTTTAATAGAAAACAGAATATTTAAAAAAAATTTTAAAAATTTTAAAAAAACAAAACCAAACTAATTCAAATATAGTGATACAGAAAATGGCTTTAAAATATGAAAATCTTACAAGACCATATGTTGTGTTGGGTTCTGGACATGCTGTTTGTGCTGAGGAGGTTGGCCTTGCCCAGCCTGCCAGCCAACCTCCACATAGCCAAAAAGAGCATTTTAAGAGTCTGTAGCTATCCAAAGGACTGTTAAAAGCTGTTTAGGAATAAATCAAAAGCTGTGGTGTGAGCAACGGATGGTAAAGCTGGAAAATCAGATCCAACTCTGAATAATTGCTCTACTAAAAAACAAATTCAGAAAAATCCAACTCTTCCCCCTGTTCTGCAGATGCTCATTCCCACTGAGTCCCCGGGGAAGGCTGAGAGGAGAACCTGAAATACCTCAATGGCTTCACAGAAGGGTTTGCTGCAGACATCTGGGCCAGCCTTACCCCTTTCACCTCGGTTTGGCACTTATTTTATAGAATAAGAAGGTGATGGGAAGGGGAAACTAAAGCCATGCTTGCATTTCAGTTCCTGGTGTTGCCTGTGCAAGACACCTCCAGCCAGATGTTTTGGGGTTCGTGGGTTGTTTTGTTTTTTTGGTTTTTGTTTTTTTGGTTTGTTTTTTTTTTTTACAGCTGATATCAAAAGTTGTTTTGGGGGGTCTTTTTGTGACTTGTTTTCGTTCCCAGTGCTTTTTAAAAAGCAGGCGTGTATCCCAAGGGGGGAGCTCCGTGGGGGCAGTGGATGTGAAGTTCATGTTCTTTCTCTGGCCATGTTGCAGCGCTGTTCCTGTGAGATGCTCAAGGCAGCCCTGGCTCCCAGCAGGGTGTGGGATCCTGCATCCCAGGAGCTGGACCTGTGTTTCCACTTCAAATGGGATACAGTGGTTTTGTTTGTTTGTTTTTTTAATATAGAGCCATACGTTTTTTTAAGTAATTTGAGATCTGAATGTGATTTCTAATGTATCAAGAACGTTAATATTTTAAAGCTATAACAAATGTTTAAATTTCTACTTTTTTTTTTTTTTTCATTTATTTTAACTGTTCTGTTACCTTAATTTGATGTATGTGGTTGGGGAATGTTGCTTCTCCTCTTAGCATTTGTTTCTATAACCAGAAATAAAATTATATATGAAAGAGAAAATGCCCTGAAATTGGTTTGCTGTTTTTGGGTGCCAGACTTGGATTCTTCCAATGTAGCCTCAGGAGGGGTTGAGTTTCCTGCAGCAGTGAGGGAACAGTGTGTTTAATATTTTTTTCCCTTTTTTTTTTTTTTTTCCATGTAGGAAGGAAGTGTGTATCTGCACACCTTGCACTGTTTGGAGTTCAGACCCCCCACTTTTGATCCCTTGTCAGTTATTTGGGCAGCTGTTGACTCGCAGCAGAGTGAACATATGGACTTGTGTGTTTGAGATCTGAGATGCTTCCCCTGGGGCTTATAAACGATTCCTCCAGCTCCAGCTTTTGTTTTGTCATGAAGTGAAACATTGTTATTTTGAAAGTTAAATTGTTCTAGTGTGTTCCCCTGTAATTTATAATAATTGCTTTCATTTAAGTCTGTGAGGTCAGAAAACAGTATTTTATGTGTCTTGTAGTTAAGCTTTTCCTCCTTTTTCTTCTAATGCAGCTACTATTTAAGTTCTGGGTTTATTTTGACTAAACATTCTTAGCTCCAAAATTAAATAATAAGTAGCTGTAATTCATAGACTTATAGAACAACTGAATGGTTTGGGTTGGAAAGAACATTAAAAGTCACCTCATTCCAATCCTTGACATGGGCAGGGACACTTTCCATTATCCAGCTTGGTTGCTCCAAGCTCCATCAAGCCTGATCTTGGGCACTTCCAGGAATCCAGGGGCAGCCACAGCTTCACTGGGCACCTGTGCCAGGGCCTGCCACCCTCACAGGGAACAATTCCTTCCAATATCCCACCTAGCTCTGCCCTCTCAGTCTGAAGCCATTCCCCCTTGTTTTGGCACTCCATGCCCTTGTAAAAAGTTTCTCTCTTGTAGTCTCGCTTCTGTTAACTACAGGGAGCATTTTTTTAATTGACTAACTAATTAAAAAATTAATAACACAATACACAGCGAGCAGTATTAATCCAGACCCTTTTCTGGAAAGGGAGGTGTATTTAGAATTACCCTTTGTCTCCCCACGTGCTGCTGCTCTGCTGGCTGATTGCCCAGGCACGGTGCTAATGAACTTCAATGCCAGGAGAGCCCAGGGCAGGGAAGTACCAAAGGCAAAGTGCCAAATCCCATCCCCTGGCATCTCTCCTCCTTCAGGGCAGTGCTCAGCGTGGTGCTGAGAGCTTCAGCCGTGTTAGCAGCGGGGAGAGAAGGCTCTGATGGATTCTTAATTTCTGGGAGTGCTGAAGACCTGAGCAGCTGGTTTAACATCTCATACCTGTTTTGGAACCTCTCTTTTGTGAACAGGTTGCAGGAAAGGCTGATACATTTATTGTCCGTAGAAGCCCCAGCTCTCATCCCTGCCATATAATGATGTTCTCCATAGGTCTGAGTGCCTGGGGCGGGGTGGCCTCAGAGCCCAGCTTGTGCTGAGGCTCCTGAGGTGTGGGATGACAACACCAGCACCTCGGGCAGCCCGTGAGCAGCCGCCGGGGCGGGTTTTGGTGCCCGATCTCCTCTGCGACCCTTCCCGCCGGGCGGAACCTTTGTGCAGCAGCCGCCGCGTCCCGGCGGATCCGGCGCGGCGTACCGGCCGCCCATGGGGGACGGCTTTTGCCGCGTACCGCGGCGGGGCCGGGGCGCGGCGGGCCCGGGATGGTCACGGCGGGCCCGGGATGTTCACGGCGGCTGCCGAGAGCTTCCTGCGGCAGGCGAGGTGCGGCAGCCGCGGGGACAGCGCCACGGAGCCCTCGGGCCGGGCCGGGGGGGCTGGCGGGGCCGGGCGGAGCGGGAAGGCGGTGAAGACCGACACTCCGGGCCGCAGCTCCCCGTGAGGGCCCGGCCCGGGGCCCGGCTCCGTGACAGCCCCGACTGCCCCGGCAGGGAGATCCAGCAGGAGGAGCTGCGCAGGTTCGCCGCCCGCGTGTCCGCCCTGCTGCAGGGCCCCGAGCCGGGCCCCGAGGCCGTGGATGGGCTGCAGAGGCTGCACCTCACGGTGGCCGCCACCAAGTACCCCCGCAAGTGAGTGTCCCTGCGTGTCCCGGGTGTTCCGAGAAGCAAAGCCTTACCTTCCTAACCAAAAAGAAAAAAAGGGCGTGGGTTAGGGCTTGAAAATAACACGCTGCCTTGAAAACCCGAGGTTCAATTTAAACACAAAGCCCCTCTTTGCCTTTCACCCCCCTGCTAAGCAGAGGATGCCCGTCTCCTTTTGCAGCAGGATTAACAAGCGTCGGTGTCACTGAACCCTCCGTGGAAGTGCACTCAGCAATGAAGGTGATGAGTGGCATTAGTCACTGGCAAGGGGGATCATCCCATAGCTAAAAATAGGCAGGAAATAAACATCTGGATCTTTTCTTGCCTTGCAGTGATGTTCACTGTGACTCTTGCAGGCTCGATGGCGAGTTTGTGGAGTTGTTGCAGACAGTGCTGTGCTCACCCAAAAGCCCTGAGCAGATTCAGGTGTTATGTGCTGCCATCCTGAGAGAGATGTCACCTTGCAACGATCTTATCCTCTCCTGTGATGAGATTCAAGATACAAAGCTCTTGAGCCTGGTATCCTCCGTCCTTCTGGCTCAGGTAAATGACCTGTCAAATCAGAGATCTTCCCTTATCAATATGGATTTGCTTTTTGATTGTTCCCTGCTCCTGAGCTCCTCCCTGAGCTCAAGGAGAGTGAAAACCAGTTGCTAGTATATAGGAAAAAGCAGAGGTATTTCTGTGTTCATTTAAAGGATCTCATTATTCTTCTTTGCATGGGAGGAAAATGGCAAATTTTTGTGTATAGCACATAACAACAAAAAATGCTTAAAACTGTAATGTTTAGACACTGAGGTCCTGGAAGCAAAAAGAGAACCCTTTAGAGCTGGCTGCTGAAATAGATTTCAAATCAGGGTTGCTTGAACCTGGGGAGGAAAGCAAAGCATTTTTGATATTATTATTCTTACAATATTGGCTTTCATGTTCACATATAAAAAACATACATAGAACCTACAAAACATGCAAAACTGTAAGTGCAAATGACACTTCAAAGGTCCAGATTCTCTGTGAAGAGAAGCAAACATGAGGATCTCCCTGTTTTGAGTGCTGCCTGGGGAACAAGCTGGAAACTTCTCTTTTTCCTCTCCTTTATTTGCACTGTGCCTATTAAAGGTAAAATATTTTTGTGAAACTTCTCATTCTGAGTTTCACTGTGTGCTTAGAAACGTCTCCAGTGTTTCTGACATTCATCTGAGTCTACTTAACTAAAGGAAGTGAAACAGAAACCAGCAATGTATTACTTACATGCTGCCTCACAAAGCTCCTCTCTCCCATATCCAGCACTGAGCCTGTCCTGCAGTTCCACAATGTAAAAACACACATAACCAGCCCCACAGTTTGGGATCTGTGAATTCAAATTGCAGAAAATCCCTGTAAAATGTGGTAAAATCCCTTGTCCTGTGAGTTCTTTTTGTGTTTGACTTTGGTATTGATGCCTGATGGAGGAGATTGGTCTCTGGTAATGGTAGGTTATCTATCCTTACCTCTGCTTTATTTTTCAGGGAAATAAGGGTGAAGTGGCAGCTGTGGGGCAGCGTGTTGTGAAAGCCTTGGAAAGGAGACTGCCCGAGGGTCAGAGCGCTCGGTTCCTTCTTCCTGTCCTGGCAAATGTCCTCCGCCTTTCCCCAGGATCTCTAACAGAAGGTAAAGCTATAGGAAGGGCTGAGATTGCCACCTGGCTGTGGTCTGGGTATTGATCAGAAGGTTCTCAGTTGGAAACTGCTGTCAAAAGTGACATCTCTGCTATGAGGAAAGGGAACTTACTGGGTGAGATGTATTCCACCACCCAGAACTGGGACTGGGCCTTCCTGGATTTGTATAACAGCATCATGTGCTCTAGCTGAGGTTGCAGCAGGAGTGTGAAACTGTAGCTATCCTGAAGAGCATCAAGCCCAGAGAGAGAAGCAGAGATGTGCTTGTGCATCTGGTCAACAGAGCAGCAGGAACAACTAGAAGTGCTCTTCATCAGAGAGGCAGCACTGGGTGGGTAGTGGTGAGTTAACCTAGGAGAGCTTTCCAGGCTTAAAATGCTGGGGAGTTGTGAGCAAGAGTGAGTTTCTTGTGAGGTTTGTGTGTTTCATGCAGTGTGCCAGAGAGGCTTTGGGGAGGATGTTGGGCTGGGTGCATGGCAGAGCAGGAAGGATCACCTGCCCCAGTTTCTGTGAGTTCCCAGTGAGGGAGTTGTGCCTTTGGCTGCAGAGCTGAAGCCAGACAGTGCCTGAATAAAGTGACAGTGTTTTTGTACATTCCTCCTAACAGAAGCTGTGGATGGAGACAAATCAACAAGTATCTCTTGAGTGATCTGGTAGCAGAGTCCTTGGTTCCAGCATTCACTCCCTGGCTGAGGTGGTATGAGGGGTATAGAGCACCCACCTTGGGGTACCAGTTTCTTTATGGATTGCTGGTTCAGAGAGTGCTCCAGGCTGGAGAAAAAGCACAGCACCTGAGGGTTAACAGGGACATGTTGCAGAGGCTGCTTCTCTGCCCAATCTAGCAATGACCCTGTCACTTCCCTTGTACAGAACAGATCGATGTTGTCAGTAAAAAGCTGGCTGACTGGCTGAGGTATGCAAGCATTCAGCAAGGAATGGCTCAACCCTCTGGAGGCTTCTTCTCCAGTCCCAGAACCAAACAGGTGAGTGCTGAGTTGCCATGGTGACCTCACAAGAGCATTTGTTAGTCTGTTACCTGCTGGTTTGGATTCCCAGAATCACCTTATTTTGGAAAACAGTAGCCTAGAAGTGCTGCTGTTATTCAGCATTTTTGGTGGGATATGTGGTTGAAACACATAGGAAAGCAAAGTAGGGGGTTTACAGCTCTGAGATGTAGGAATTCAGCTGTAGACCCAGAGCTTTGATCCTTGAAGTAGTTTTTAGAGAAGAGTCTTTTAGTGACCGTGTACTTCAGAGTGGAAGGTGATTACAAATGAGACCAGTGTCAAAGTGAGTGTTTCAGCTGGGCAGAAGGAACCAGCACAGC